GTGACAAAGGCACATATATGCATGACCTGGTCTAAGCATGAAATGGAAGGTCCCATTCACCTTAACAGGTACAGATGGTAAAAAGTATTCTTGATGTGGTTGCTACCTGCACATCCAGCAGTAGCCTCTGTTCTAATAGCTATCCTATATTGTAAACATGATTCACAAGTAACAGCCACCCGCAGCCAATTAAAGGAGTTGCTATGTATTTTATCATTCCTTCTCGTTGTTTCCCCAACGAAACAAAATTAGCTAACTCTTGTCCAGACTGGACCTCAATTTAGACCTCATGCAGCCTCAATCTCCAGCTAACAAAGATCCAAATTGAGCACAGGGACTGAAGGGAGGCAACCTCTACCTCAACTATTCAGGGGCTGATGGGGCCAGGGTAACTGATGCAATAGCATCTGAGACACTGCATGGATGCAGAATAGCCAGGGCATGAGAACACCCTCTTATTCCCCCTCCTGTATCCAATATACCCATGTCTGCCCTGGCCCACCCCAGAATGTCCCCTCTGCCAGGTCTTCCAATGGGATGAGCAAGGTGCACAGCCAACTCTGTGGCTCCAGCAGAGGGCCTCTTGCACATTGGGTATTTCCTAATGAGACACACGGCTCCTGTTCAGCCACTCTGCCCCCTTGCACATAGGCTCACCGTTTGAGACACAGGCACAAAGCCCCGCTAGCTGCTCACTTTCAGAAAAATGAAAGTCAGATACCTTTTCAAAAGAAAAATAAAAGATGAAATGAACTAATCTCTGTCTTGCCAGAAAATCCACTAGTGTAACATACAATGTAGCTGATCTAGAATAAAAAATTTGTGTGGGGTCATGCGAGAAGAGTCTTGTCAAATATATACAAAAATTCTATTTTAAGATTGTTGGGAATATTTCTTTTAATAAATTAAAGCCCAACATGTTATACCACAGTCAGAAGAGAAGTTCTGTCTGAATTATACTTTCCCCTTCCCCCCACTTACCTAAGCAATTCCTACATTTTGGCAATAAGATGCTTCTAGCTCTAAATTATTTCTACATTTCAGATTCATACAGAAATATATATAAAGCAAATGAACAAAAATGAAAATATATTCATGCAACTGTTTCTGCCTATCACCTTTAATCTTTCAAGCACTTTAAAATGTGCTTCCCACAGAGGGAGAGAGAGATCTATTTTTGCTTTAGGTGAATATAAAAGTAATTTGTTGCCATAGCAATATTCTTCCAACCCGAATGTTCTGAATACTGTAGTTGCTTCAGCTTTTGGGCAAACTGTAACCATCACCATACCCCATTTAAAATGTCATGTTTCACTAACCTCTTTAGTTCGGCTTTGATTTCATCTTTCTGCTACACAATATTAAAAAATGTAATTCAATACAAATATTTATGTCTATATGAGCTTACTCGCAGAGACCAATTTCAAATAATCATTTACTTGTATCTTGTTTAATTAAAATTCACTGGAAACCTCAAGCTTCTCTAACACAGACATAGAAATAAAACCAAGCTGTACCCAATGGACCAAATTCTGAAGCCCATGGGACTTATGTGCATGATTTGGAGGGCAGATTTTTACCTGTACTGATTTATTTGTAAGGGCCATATCATCATCTCACAGACTACTCCAGTGGTTCTCAACCAGGGGTACGTGTACCTCTGGGAGTACACAGAGGTCTTCCAGGGGGTTGTGATGTTCCCCTCTGGTGTTATCCGGACCAGTGATCTGCTAGGTCACTCCAGTCCTTGACTCTGGGAGCCAGCCTTACCCTGCTCTGCTGTGAGAGCCCCCACTCCTGGGCTGTTCACGCACAGTCTCTGGTATGTAAGCTGCTTCATGGATCGTGCAACTGAATGACACTAACCAATATCTCCAGTCCCAGACACAACCCTAGGAACCTCCGTCTTGCAATGTCCAGTTATGCCCACTGGATGCTGCAAGCTTATGAGTTTGTCAATTTAACAAACAAATTGATATACACCAGGCTTGTTATCCTGAGAGGAATCTCTGACACGCTTTAAACCAAATGTACTGCTTCAGGTAGAACAAACAAATTTATTAACTACAAAGATTGTTTATTCTACCCTATCTTTGTAGTTAATAAATTTGTTTATTCTACCCTAATTTATTAACTACAAAGATAGGTTTTAAGTGATATTAAGTGAAAGGCAAAAAGTCAGAGTGGTTACCAAAATAAAATAAAATACAATATAAGCACGCAGTCTAAACTCTCAACCCTATTAGGCTGGGCAACATCTAGACTAAGCAGTTTTTCTCACCCCACTGGATCTTGCAGTCCTTAATATACAGGTTTGCTCCTTAAACCTGGGCCAATCTCCCGTGCTGGAGTCTTGTCTTCCTCTCAGTATCTAGGTTGTTTGCAGCATAGGTGGGGGCAGGAGAAGGGCCCAGTATGTGTCCACTGTGTCTGTTTTATACCCTCAGTCCATGTGCCTGTAGAACAAAAGTCCAGGCATGCCTGGGGGGTATTGCTCCGTCACCCAGCAAGGTTGAGCAATTCCTCTGGTGTGGCCTCATGAAGGTGAGTCATTGCATTGTAGCTCCCTTGCTGGACAATGGCTGTTGATGGATTGTTTCACACCCTGCCCAGGCATTAGTTACTTTCCTTGCTGTTGCCTCTGGGGAGTTAATATCTGACTGATTCCCCAACTTACAGCAACCATACCTCACAATTCTCATAACTTCATATGCATTAATGATATACATATATGGATAGAGAAATGACTTTCAGCAGATCATAACCTTATACCTTACAAGGCATGCTTTATGTGTAAGATCACGATTATATGAAAATGAGGAATATGGGGCTTACAGTATGCTCCCCCAAGCCATAGAATGTGACAGGGGTACATCAGCTCATCTAGATATTTGCCTAGTTTTACAACAGCTACATAAAAAGCACTAGCAAAGTCAGTGCAAACTAAAATTTCATACAATGACTTATTTATACGGCTCTATATACTATATCCTGAAAACTAAGTACAATATTTATATTCCACTTGATTTATTTTATAAGTATATGGTAAAATGAGAAAGTAAGCAATTTTTCAGTAATAATTAAGGTTAAGATTTTGTCATGCTCTGCCTCTAGAACCAAGCTCTACACAGGAGATCTACCAGAGCCTGGATCATGTACACAGAAGCACTGTGCCTACACACTAGCTCCTGTCCCACCACTGTGTGGAGTAGCTTTATTGTTGTGTAAAGACATGAGGTGCCGTGGCAGACACCAAAGGTCATCCTCCATTTTGGAAGGTGGAGTTCTGAACCATTTGGTGTAGCACAGACTGTGGCAGACGGAAGCCTACAGAAGCCTCTCATTGCTGTGTTATGTAATGTTTAACTAAAAATAACGTAGCTGTTAAATACAAGCTATCCGTGCCTTAATAATAAGAAGAACACAACTCCCTTTGCCCTTTCCAGCTCCTTAGCAGCACAGCTCCAGTTGCCATGAGCTATCCCACAAGCCACTTCCTCTCCCCACCTTTTCCTCCACACCTTGAGTAAGGGGGTTTCATCCGGTCTGCACTGACTTACTTACAAAAGCAAATACCAATGGACTGAGGTAGGTGCGATACCACAGTGGGCAGCAATCTCATAAGCTCTGCTCCTGCCAACCTGCAATTCACACTCCACCAAATGTTGAATCCCCCATTTGAAAGGGAAACTGTGTGTGTGGCTCCTGACTAAGAACTGTGCACATGCTATTGTAGGATTTTGTTGTTGTTACCTCATGTTACTCTCATCGCACCCTGACCTGCTTGTTTGTCTCACACACTGTTACATCTTGTCTTTTAGACTGTAAGCTCTTTGGGACAGGGACTGCCGTTTACTATATTGTTTTACAAAACCTAGCAAGATAGGTTACTGACCTGGCTGGCTTCTATGCAATACTGCAAAGTAAATATTAAATAAGATTACATAGCATGTTAGGATGCAAATTACTGGGATAGCTTATTTCTTAAATTTAGCATATGCTTTCTTAGTCCAGATGCAAATTATGTTTTTACTATTTTATTTAAATTGGTACAGCTATGTTTAAGACAGATAAGAAATGCAAAATAATGTCTTTCAGATACTTTGTAGCAGACCTGAAACACTAATGCACTCTACACTTTAGAATGAAATTTACCTCAGATGACCTGCCCAGGACTGATTCTCCACCGCCTTGCCCCTCCCTTGTGCACTCTTGTACTGTTCCTGCTCCCGGCTGGGATGTCAGGGACAGGCCAAGGGCAAAGAGAGGGCATGCCTGGAAGGCACTGCACTATTACTCTTCCCGTGCCCCTGAGGGGCCCGAGGAAGCAGCTCACATGCAAATTTACTCTAGAGAGAGGTCTAGAGGACCCCAGCTACAAAGCACCTTTCCCCTTCTTTCAGGAACCGAGTCACTGAGAATCAAGGCCCATGGGTCTGCTTCTGAGTAAAACTGAAGTTTGCAACTGCAGAACTTCCTCTGCAAACGCGGGCTAGATGCTCCGCGGGCTTCCCAGCGGCGGGAGCAGAGGGAAACTGATTTACATTGTCGAAAGCAGCGATTTTAATTATTCTACGAGCGCGGAGGGGAGGACCAGCTCCCTCCAACTCCCCCGGGCAACGGTCTGTTCCGGTGAACTTCATGCCACCCAGTGTGGTGTAACCCCCTGCTCCGACCCTGGAAGGGCTGCTAGAATTGGCCGGCCCGGCACTACCTCGGCAGCTTCCCGTGCACCAGCGGCGGTGGGGTGGGACAGCGCTGGGCAAGGCCACCCCTCCCTCAGGTGGGACCAGGCTATGCCCACCCGCCCCCGACCTTGTGCACCAGACACTAACTCCCCTCTCCCGCCATACGCGTTGCACAAGCAGCCAGTCAAGTGGCAACGCCGCTGCGTCTCCCCTCATGTGATGCTCCTTTTCTCGCCCCGCACAGCGCCAGCGGCCCCCTCCCCGCGCGGGGCTCGCCCGGCCCGGCCCGCTCCAGTCGCTGCGGCTACTCACCCCGACTCCCTCCTGCCGCACGCCGGGCAGGCACTGGGCGCCGGGTCCAGGCGCCTTCCCCGGGCGGGGGGCTGTCCGGAGGCGGCGCGCGCTTCAGTGGCCACGTGGGGCTCACTCCCAGGGCCAGTCTCCCTGGAGCCTCAGCCGGCGCGGCGCGGCGCCCTTCCTCCGCCCCCAAACAATGCTGCTCTCCTAGGTTACGGGCTCGCTCGGGTCCCTATTGGAGCCTTTTGTCCTGTGACTCGCTGGAGCGGCGCCGCAGGCCCAGCCTTCGTGTTTGGGAGGGGATTACCCGGGGGAACCTTGCAGCGGGGTCCCTCCACGTGCTCCTGACCGGGAAAGGTTTGGCAGATGCAGAGGGGCTCCGGAGAAGGCCCCCGAAGCGGAATGCCTGCATTTGACGCCGTGGGCCCGTAGATTTACCTTTAGGATCCCCTTAGGCCGGATTCTGCCATCCTTAGTGTAGTACATGTCTCCGGGAGGAGCTGGCTGAGTGCGCCATGCTGGCTCACTCTGATTTGGGGGCAGACTTTGCTCCCCTTCCCCTCCTCTGGGAGTACTAGAAGTACTGGAGTAGGGGTGGGAGAAGCTGGCCTCTTCTCTCTATAGTTCCCTGCACTGTCCCGGCCTCAGTCCTTATGCACCTCCAGGGATCTCAGAGAAGCACCACAACTGCAAGTAACTTTTGGCTGAGGTATGTGGGAGATCCAGGATCTGCCTTCCTCCAGACAGCCACCAAGATCACCCCATCAATGGCTGTGAGCAGAGAAGACAAAACGCCACAAATCTCCACCTAGGGTGTAGGATGATGGGAGGAGAATGTCAATTGTATATTATTGTTCCCCCTGTCCCACACAGGCTGGTGCTTGCAGTTCTGATGTCCTGGGTGTGACAAGGGTACCACAACTAGGGTGGAAGATCACTCAATATGACCAGCCCCCCAGAGCTATCTTGACCAGAGACAGCGGAGCTAGAGCTGCACTGTCATGATAACTTCTGGCTTGCTGTTGCTGCTGGCATGCGGGGTACTTTAAAAGGGGCAGCCAGGCCATGAAAAGTTGTCTTGGTTATGGAGAGGAGCAGTTGAGCTAGAGCCACCATAAAAATGTAATGCCCGAGGCAGCCATTTATGTTTCTTATACCTAATGCTGATTCCCATGCTTACGTCACACCCAGTCTAAACTCTTGTACAGAGATGGGAATCTGTGTGAGAGGAGAGGAAGCGGATGGGTACTCTCCATGCATCATCCTGCTTACAACCTTGCAGGGATTCAGCACCAAAGTTAATACTAATGGAGTCATAGCTTTGGTGTTCAGCCCATCCGTAAGGGAAGGGGCCCATGATAGTTCCTGGTGGCGGCACTCCACTGGAGTCATGCTGTCAGTGAGCCAAGGGTCAGTCAGGGTACCTAGAAACAGTTTAGAGGCCCAGGGCCTCTGCACAAGGGGCATCTGGAAGATCCCTGTAGATCTGGTGGATCTATGGTTTTTGCAGGCCATTCTCTGGTCAGATTTGCAGAAGAACAAACACTACTCCCTCCTACCCCCCCAACAAAAAATCTGCAACATTTCCCTCATGGAGTTTCTTGTAACATATGCGGATATTCTCATATCTCTATTATATGTAATATTAGATGTTCTTGTGGCACCTTAGAGACTAACAAATTTATCTAAGGTGCCACAAATACTCCTTTTCTTTTTGCGGATACAGACTAACACGGCTGCTACTCTGAAACCTGTCATTAGATTTTCTGAGTATGCTAATAACACTTCTAACACAAAAAAGTATTTATGTGCCAGTTTTGTGAGATTGACACAGTATAAAACTGAAGTGACGAAGGGATAGTTTAGGATGATTGGTGAGTGGGGGCTTGCCCCTCTGATTTACAGATTTCTCTTGTTTTTTGTAGTCATTTAACTTTAACTGATTCTCTTCTTACTTTTCCACAGATGTAATGCTGCTGATTTGAGTGGAGTCATTCCTGGTTTGTATCCTTGGAAATGAGAAGCAAATCAGGCCCTCTTGAGTTGGTAGCACTCCCACCTACTTTGGATGTGTGTGAATGGCTACACAAGATGCAAGACCATGGAGAATCAGGCCTATAATCCCACTTTGATATGTAACTTCCATTAGTGTTAGTTGCATTTTCCTGGTCCATTAGGACAATTCTCCTCAAAGCTGTAAAGGATAGTCGTGAATATAAAGGTGATGGCTGTATTAATAGCAGTTATTGTTGTGGCACCTGCTTTTCGGGGTTAATGTAGAATGTCAAGGAACTGCTGTAATTATTTTTAATAGAGTATTAAAAATAGGTTGAGGAAACAAGATCATTAGTTTAATTAATGCATTAAAAAGATAAAGGAAGTAGGTTGTTACAGTTAGTACAAATCAGGAGAAGTAGAAAAACAAAAGAACACCATAAAACAAAATACCACAGAACTTTTCGCTACACAGGGTAAAAAGGACTGGCAAATCAACTGTAGCATATAGTACAGTGACATTGTGCATGTGGTCAGTGATCAGAGAGCTAGTGAATTCTTCTTAAGGAAGAATTATCTCTCTGTCCAGTTGGACAAAAATAATTATTTTGCGTTATTCTGTGCTCTTCTGGCAGGGGTCCCTTTCTGGTAGCAGACTGGTCCATTGGGTAGACTCTTAGACTGATAGCCAGGAGACTTGAGTTCAGTTCTCAGTTTTGCACTGACCTGCAAGTCATTTCACCTCTCCTGGTGACTCATTATCTTTGTAAGGTGCTTTGAGATCCACAGAAGAAAGGTTGCTACATATGAACTAAGTGTTATTATTGTACATTTGTTAAAGAATCTGAGTCACATGAACCCGGTGTGGAGAAAGAAAGAATTATCTTTGACTAACAGCAGTAAAAAAAATCCAGAAGACTATCTCCAGCAACAGCCTATTTGCATCAAAAAACCTTTAAAACCAACCCACAAGAACAAACTGAAGAAACTCAGTATCTGCAGAAACAAAGCAAACTGTCTAGGGAAATATACTTTTTTGCATAAAATATACAAACCCTACAGTAAATCCTTTATATAATCCTCTTTATAGAACAACCAAGCAAATATACCAGAATAGGAAAAGAAATATGTTTCAATTTCAGCATTTCTTCAATATGTATTTTAATTTATTGATGATGTTGCAAAAAAAAAAAAAAAAAAAAAGCTACTGTACCAAAGACAACAAAGTAAGGCCCAGTCTTGTAAATGCATGTATCTTTGTGAGACCCTTTCCTTCCATGGGGAGCTGTGTAAATTCAGGGGATTCCTTGAAGTTGCAGAATCGGAGTTGCAGTTGCAGAATGAACTTGCAGTTGCAGAATCGGAGGCTAAATTCTGCGTGGCTGACCTGTCCTATCATGTGGGATTTACAAGGGCTCAGACTGCAAACTCTTACTTAGGTGAGTAGTCCTAACCTCACATGTGTGGACTTCGCTGTCCCTTCTCTATCCTTGTTCTTGTCTATCCTTCATTCTCTGTATATTTCTCTTCTTTTGTCTTTCTCTATTCTCTTTTTTCCCTGTTCTCTCTTTTCTCTCTCTTTGTTCTTTCTTTTTCCTTTTTCTCCTCATCCTTCTTTCTTTTTCTCTCCCATCACTTTTTACTGCTATTTTTGGTTTATGTAGGGTCATCACAATTCAGCCTGTACAGTGGGTCTCTGCATGAATAAGGGCAACTCACCTGAGTACAAGTATCCAGGATCGGGTCCCAAGTTTGTGTCCTTGCTCCTGGGCTGCTTGTGTCGGGGGTAATATAAAGAGTTATTGCTCTGACCCAGGAGAGGTCAGGTCTTTTATCATTTTAAATGCTTAAAATTTTTTAGCTATAAAACTTTAAGAGCTTAAAGTTTTCAATGTAAATAAAAGCCTCACTCTCTGTTCACCTTCGCTATGCGCTTCCCTCACCCTGCACCCAATTATAACTCCCTCCTCTCCCATCCTATGCACTTACCCAGTCTGGAGGAATGGAGTTCTGCTTTGCTGAGCCTCAAAAGGTCTTCCAGAGGAGGCTATTCCTGCCTTATATGACAACCCAACTTAAACTTTGGAGGCCACATCCTCAAAGTACATTGTTGCAGCTCCATTAAAGTCAATGGAACTATGCCCATTTATATCAGATGCTATTGGTGCTCATACAAAAACTTGGGAAATTCATAAATAAAAGCAGTTAAGGTTGAACATATGTTTCAAAGGAATGCAGTGAATGGCTCCAAACACAGTTACATTTTTTTCACATAATTCTTCAATTCAAAACAAAACATTAGAATGTCTGGAAATAAACTGGGGATCCAGTCACTTCCCCACTAACATATAATCCTCCATTGCTCATTATCACCCCACCCAACAGACACTGCCCATTCATTGTTAACTTTGACCCTTTGTTTTATAGTGGAAGTGTATTGTTAGATGTGTACTGTTCAATCTACTGTACAAAACCACACTTTAATTACCAGGAATGGATACTTGACTAGAGAGATGATTAACAATAGATTTGTAGCTTGAAGCACAATTAGAAAAATTTGAGGTATGTAACTTGCATGGCTGGTAAAACTGGTTTGAAAGGTGCCTGTAAATCTTACAACAGTTTTTGAAAAAATTATCAACATAAAGAGTACGATATGTTTTCTGAGCCTAATTTTTACTGTTCTGGGGATTTCATTTCTTAGGAGCATATATGAGAGATGAAGTCAATCAAATCGTTGCAGGAATTTGCTTATCTGATAAGGGCCCAATCCAAAGCCTATTGTAATCAATTCAAGGACTCCCATTAATTTCATTCAGCTTTCTATCAGGGTCTAAAAATCTTACCATATTTAGCAACTTTTATATTGTACATAGATCTTTATCATGGCATCAGCACTTTCTTGTCCGGTGTGGTGCTGAGCACCCTCAGCTCCCACTGCTGTCAAGAGTGAGAGGTGAAAGCATTCTGCTCTTTGCAGGATAGAACCCTCTTTTTGTTCTCACATTGCATTATATACTGTGCTGCGAAAGACAGTTTGTGTTTATTGTATAATATGAGCATATTTTTATCTCAAGAAACTGGATTGAAATAGGTTGTGTCATTCCTATTGGCTGTCAGTATAAGGACTCAAGAAGATCACAACAACAACACAGATTGGAGAATAATAATGTCAAATACAGGGCCAGATTCTCGGATGACATAAGACATGCTAGCTCCATTGACTTCAATAAAGTTATACAAGTTTAGGCCAGCAGAGAATCTTACCCATTATTTTTACTTAAAACAAGATAATTGGAATAGATGGCCAGCTAGTCCCATGAATCAATTAATATTACATTATTAGATGACCAGTAGTTGATGCTACTATTAGAGGATATGCCTGCATCTAACTATTGCCACTGTAAATCTAGATCAGGGGAGGCAACCTATGGCCTTCAGCACGCAAGCTGATTTTCAGTGGCACTCATACTGCCCGGGTCCTGGCCACCGGTCTGCGGGGCTCTGCATTTTAATTTAATTTTAAATTAAATTTCTTAAACATTTAAAAAACCTTATTTACTTTACATACTACAATAGTTTAGTTATATATTATAGACTTATAGAAAGACTATAAAACACTAAAAAGACTTCTAAAAACGTTTAAATGTATTACTGGCACACAGAACCTTAAATTAGAGTGAATAAATGAAGACTCGGCACACCACTTCTGAAAGGTTGCCAACCCCTGATCTAGATACTTTGTTGTGATTGGTGACAATATCAGTATGATGGATTATAGGTGGCACATGCACTGATACCTACCATTAAAGTTACCTCCGTATTTCTAATAGAAAGGGTAATGTTCAGTTGCTTATGAATAATTTTTTCAAAGTTTTACCTTTTCAGCTGAAATTTGATATCCTTGTTCCCAGATAGCGATCAGTATTTTTTTTTTTTTTGAAGGTTTCACACAAAAAAAGTGTTAAGCCATTTGCTAGCTTGGAAGGAGTTGCGGGAGCAGGAAGCAGTTTTGCTACTGAGATTTTTTCCCAATCTTTATTTGAACAGCACTAGCAGCTCAATAGAAGATGCTGAAAATTTTTTTGGCAAGGACATTGTCCCTGGAGTATAGATTTGCCTTTCATTGGTCTAGTGAAAATCAGATTTGATTTGGCTAGTTTGTAAAGGTTTAAATAACATACTTTGTGCATTGGCACTTAAGATTATGTTAAATGAATATAACCATCTTCCAGCTTTTCATGGAACAACACATGTATGAGTATATAAGTTGAGTGAAAATTTCCACTGAATAGATGTTTTAGTATTCTATTAGATGTGAACATGTAAACACAAAAAGGTGGAGCGCGATATCAGACTAAGTAGAGGACTATGCAAGATAGTCTGTAAAGGTGTGTATGTATGATGGGGTGAACCTGGCCTTTTCGGCTCCTTAAAGGAGGCCAAGCAGTCCTACTGTACCTCATCCCAGGCAAGGAGCAGTGAAGGTGGGTCCTCTGGGCCTGCCTAGAGCATCCTCAAAGAAGAATCCAATCAGAGGCCAGCAGGCTCAGACCAAAGGAGCTTCAGAGGCTTAGCAGGTTAGTTTCTGGTTGGGCCTGGAGGGTCAGGGAAGGGTGCTCCTCTCTGTCCGAAGTAGCTCAAGGGAAAACTAGAGTTTGGTTCTGGCTGCAATTGCTTATGCTGGGAGAGAGAGGACCTGAGAACTTTTAACCCTGAGATAAGACAAGATGATCAAGGGACCAGATGGGAAGAGGCCCAGAGGAGCAGCAGCAGTGAACTGAAGTGAACAGTACATGGCTGCTGTTTATAGAGTGCCTGGTTGGAACCTGGAGTAATGGGTGGGCCTGAGTTCCTCCACAGGCCACCAGCAAAGTGGTGTAAACCCCAAGAAGGGATCGAGGGTCTTTTGAAAGCCAGAGCAAAGGGCTGAATTCAAAGGGCCCAGAACTGGGGCTGAAAATCCTGGTGAGGGCAGATAGTTCTCTTTGACTTTTGTTACCTTGAAAGGGATTCATTTTGACTGTATGACCCAGCCAGAGGGCCAAGGCACTGAAGACCTGACAAGTGACGTCAATAACCTACAGGGGGCGCCAGTATCAGGAAAAGGACTGCAGCACCACTCGCAGCAGTAGGAGGCACTCAAGACATCAGTGTCCCCTGTTATAGTATGAAAGAAGGCTGAGCTCTGTGGAAATCCTGCCTCCTTCCATGTGATGTAGAAATATGTATATGGAATGAGGC